TATTGTCTAAATAAATTAATAATAAATAATTTACTTAAAATATTTTTAACTTATTATTTAATAAATATTGCCATGAGTACTTATAGTTAATAAATGGGAAAGATGTTTTTTATATACAATTTATGTTGTATAATGTTATAAATTGTGCAACGATGTCATAGTAATTAATTGTAAATATAATTTTAAGCAATATGCACAATGTCCATAATGTCCAACCTGATCATAGTATTAGAAACACTATAATAAACGTACATTCTTTATAATCTCTATATTCTCTATAATCTATTAATAGTAATAATTAATATAATTAATAGAAAAATGCTCTAAAATTGCATAAAATTATTTAATATATTAATTATCAAAAATTATATAAAATAAAAATAATTATACCAAATATATTAATTATCGGTCAATTAAAGTGCATTATAAAAAAGTCCTTAACTTAAATTAAGAAAACTAGCTAACTTTTGTTACATATCATTTTTACAAATTACATTGCATTAATTTTAATAATTAAATAAATGACAAAAATTTCAAAAAATATCATTTATAAATTATAAATATAAATAAATTATAATAATCGTTTTCATTATACCGTTACAATAAAATCATCATTGTAATTATCATACATACTATAGTTATTTATACCGGTAGTTTTACTAATTTTAAAAACTAATAATTATAAGTATAATCACAATATTTACAATAAAAGTACAGAATGCATAGACATTGCACAGAAAACACTTTTATTAATATAAATGTTTGTTACTATAATTATTTTGTAACTAATTAATTTATTTATATTTATAAATTAACTGTAAATAGATTTAATCCGATTTTATGTTCTGTATTTAAAATCTCCAATTTTCATACCCAGCCCACATATACGCGAAACTTACACGGGAAATAAATGTGCACTTTATGTCTGTCAGGATTTCCTACACAAGCATTAATTGCTACCAAATAAACAATTAATTCATTAATAGATTGTGTTTAGATTGAAGTGATTTATAAAAATATTTTACCATTAATAAATAGATAGACAAATAACGTGTTTATTATATTCCGGACATATATAAACAGTTTGTTATGTTATTAGAACAATTTTCTTAACGTTACTTACAGTTTACGAAATTGTATTGACCGTAACATATTTTTTCACCCCGTTTTTATAAACATTTAATTAACAACAATTAACAAAATATGGATATAATTATAAATATAAATTGTGCGATAGATTTATTTTATTTAAAATCCAATCACCAAAACGTTCAAACATTATATAAATTTGCAACAAATTATAAATTGGATCAAAAGTTAAAAGTTAAAAATAAAACTAAAAAAGAGTGATATTAATAGCCGTCGCAAAGAATAACGATATGATAACTATTCCCAAAATAGTTATACTTGTAGTGCTTTACACATACGAGTGCTGTTGTCTCGTCAATGATAACAAATGGTTAGATCACGACATCTCCACATTAAAACTTCTTCAGATTGTTCACAGACACGGAGACAGGACTCCAATCAGTTTCCCGCCCAACGATCCGTATCAGGACAGCGAGCACTGGCCCGAAGGCATCGGCCATCTGACCACAAGAGGCAAACACCGGATGTATAGACTCGGCGAATACATACGGCGAGAGTACGACCAATATCTGGGACCCGATTATTCTCCCCGCGAAGTATACGTCCGAAGCTCACTGTCTCACCGATGCATAGAGAGTGTGTCGAGTCTGTTGGCCGGCGCTTATCCGCCCCGCAATCCTCGCTGGCAGTGGAGCGCCGGCAACGGCACCGACAACACCGACGCTCCGTTGGGCACACTTTGGCAGCCCTTTCCCATCGAGACATTTATGCCCAAAAAGGATGACATTGTGTTGAGACAAGAGAAACGCTGTCCGGCGGTGTATATGGAGAAGGAGTTGATCTACAAGAGACCCGAAGTGCAGGAGTATCTCAAGAATCGGACGCAACTTTTTGATAGACTGTCAGCTGTGGTCGGGTATCCGGTGGACAGCATTAAAAAGTGCGGACAATTGCACACAGCCTTACAGATTGAAATGGATGCCGGCTTGTATTGGTCGCACGTGTGGTCACGCGAAGAACAGCAGGAGATTGTGGACCAGCTTCTGGACGTGCATCGTATGGCTTATAGGTATTGTCCACAAGTTGTCAATTAATATAAACTTTTAAAATCACATTTGTTTGAATGGATATAAGGCTGGACTGGAATAGCACTGTAATTAAGCGGTTAAGGGCCGGGGGTTTAGTGAAAGAGTTGGTGAAAAACTTTAAGTCAGTCCTAAAGGGCACTAACGATAAGAAAGTGTACGTCTACTCGACCCACGACTCCATGCTGGCGGCACTTATGCACGCGTTGAACATATTTGACGGCGAATTACCCCGATTTGGCTCAACCCTGATGTTTGAATTACATCAGAGACCCGGAGAGGAACAGTATTTTGTCAAAATATATTACTTAAGGGATACGGTTAACGGTGTGCCCACACCTCTCGCTCAGGGAGACTGTGATAACCAACACGACTGTCCACTGCCGCACTTTTTTGAGTCCACAAAACCATTGATTTACGATAATTTCAAGAAGGAGTGCAAGAATTTTGTTAATTATGAGAAGTATATCCATGATGATAAACTTTATTTTATACGATAGACTATCGTCGATAGTTGATCTTGCATATTTTTAGTTTGTTTTATTTTTATAATTAAACAGAATGTTTTATATTGTAAATAATTTTATTTTTATATTTTTATCTAAATTTTAATTTTCTAATATTACCTTTAATGATTTTGATTTTATTGTATTTTTGATGTAATTTTTAATCAATTTATTTTATCATTTTAAGAATAAATTCTGTATACACTTTATTATTTTTAACTGTTATTAAGTCTTAAGACGTGACTTGAAATACAAGAACAAACCATATTATTAATTACAAAAGTGCTTTGTAATAAAATAAGAACTCTCTCTCTCTCTCTCTCTCTCACGCACAGTATTTACTATCATATAGATAGTGGGCTTGTAGTAAAAGTGTACCACAAGTCTATTTGTTTTAAACTGTTTAATTTAGTTTACTGAACAAACTTTATATATTAATTTAACTCAAATTGACTCTCTCTCTCTCTCTCTCTCGCTCTCTCTCTCACTCACTCACTCACTTACTCTTTAACACTTTAGTACAAATATTGTGAACTTTTTATGCAAATCACTTACAAATAAATAAATGTTATCACAATATTAGTTAAGTTAATAATTGTTTTTATAAGATATAACACTCCTTAATAGCGATAATATAACAGTAAAAATTGTTACTAAACTTAAACCTTTTCACTCAATACATGATAAAACTCGAAGTCGTATAACAAGTTTTATTGTGTGCAAAAATAATGATTTTAGGCACAAATAATTAAAAATCGTGTTCATTTAATGTTTATCATTTGGTAATAGATTTATAATAAATTGTTATTAATTGTTTATCAATTTATTTACAAATAAAGCTTATTTACCAATTGATGAATTGCGGGGCGCACCCAATTAATAAGCAAGGTCATTGCATTTTTTACGCTCAATTACATAAACATATTATACAATTGGTTGGCATTTATTGGATAATGTATTTCTCTGATATTAATATCGTTGTAAACATTTAATATAAAGTGTATTTACACGACAACTATAGTGAACATTATTTTCATAACTTATATGGTGTACAATATTTATTGCCAGCAGTTTTTTGTTCACTGATAATATGGTACTTGTGGTGAACATTATGTGAATTATTATTATTATGTATACATTATATAACACAGGTTATGAACTAAAGTTATATTACAGATAAATGGCTTAAATGCTTGGGTCAACAGTTTGTTGTCGATAAAAATATCGTATAGTTTTTTCTATCAAATATATTGTGTGTTTTGTCGGATGTATTTTCTATGCCTTTTATTATGTTAACTTGGTTTTGTAATTCAGTGAACAACGAGTTAAACTTATTGCACAATATTATACTATTATAATAAAAATAATATTATTATTATAGTAAATCATTGTAATGTGACGACAAGTGATGAGTTGTGAAAATATCAAATCAATTTAATTTTATGATATTTATATCGTGTAACAGACAGATAAAAGTTATTTGTAAATCAGTTTTCAATACTAATCATATATTCAAACGCCCGGTTCTGGTATCTTATCACTCGAGAAGAGAGAGAGAGAGAGAGAGAGAGAGAGAGAAGGCGAAAAGTTTCAAATGGTGTTCAAACTGAACCGCCATAAAGAGAGAGCACTGGGGATAAGGTCCTCTATACAAGGTACTTTATTCCTGGCGGGTGCATAGCACTATCTAGTCTATAAATCATTTATAAGGAAAGAAATAGGAATTGGTTTGAGTGAAAAATAGTAAACTTGTTTGAATCTCAAACTTTGAGAGGAGCCGTCAATATGTGAGCCCTGTCTGAGAGGGGGAAAGTGAGAGCACATGCAATGGCTTTAGTGCTATCGTATAAACTTGTTGTGTGGTTAAGGTATGTTTGCGCACAGCATATGCACAGCACAAACAGCGCTCACAACATTTGAAACACATTGGAAACTGATGTGAAAAGCAGTCGCTATTCGTTCCCAAGTATTCGCTACTCATTTGAAACCAAAACATAAAACAATATAAAAAATATGAACCAAAAAGTGTTCACACAATTCATGTGTTCACCAAATTAGCTGTAATTGAAACACATTTTGCAATACATTTCAAATTGAAATTTTCAATGTATTTGTGATATTGTTTTGCCATTCAATGCAATCATACAAATGAGATAACATGTGCTCATTATGTGAGACTCATTATCACCACGTCTTCAGCCGTGTCTTCATGTGATTAGACACTGAAAATCCGTTTGTGTTTTGTTTGTGTCTGTGTTTTGTCTGTAATCGTAGCGACTGTTGTCGTAGTTGTGGTCGCGTTTGAACCGCCGCTGAGACAATGGATTCGTCGAGCGATCAGTGTTTCACTCGTGTGTTTCTGGAGAAGAATCCGTTGATCACGAAAGACACGATCGATGTATTGGTCGACAACGGATACACCGATCGGGCGTTGTTTCTGTTGCTGGACGTGACCACAGATGTGCCGACTCTTCCCATTCCGATGGCGCAGAAGACGGCGCTCAAGAAGATTCTCACCGAATGCCAGAATATGAGCCGCAAGTCTTTGGACACGACTTTGCGGCAGAAGATATCGCAAGATCTCGACGAGACTGACGTCCAGTTAAGTAACTTAATGCTGACCTCACTGTCCGAATCGGGCGCAAGACATCACTTGCAAGCGCTGCCACTCTTGTCGATAGAGCCGTCGCCGACGCCATCGTTGGCCGCGCCCTCACCCGCAGAGTCGACAGTGTCTCACGTCATACCACTGGTCACCACCACTACCGCCATCACTACTGTCCCCACAAGCGCTTCCGACAGGTCTTCCTTAACACCGCCGCCTATCGTTAAACCTCCCGCCAGTCCTCCACAGCCATCGTTGAGCCAAAACGTGTCTTCAGTCTCGTCGACGACCACTACTACTACTATCGGTGGCACGAGTTTCTCGTCCGAGCCGTCCACGAGTCGGCTATCGTGCGAACCGTCGACAAGTGGTCAGTCGTCGTCGTCATCGGCAGCGACGGTAAAGCAAAGGCTAAAACCACGAATGGGTCCGAAGTCGAAGATGTTGGCCTGGAATAGCGCGTACCCGCGTTTCCTCGAGTCTCATAAACGACAACAAAAGTTGGCCCGAACTCCGCCGAAGATGTGCGACCAGTCTGTGGGCACTCGATATATGCTGAAGAGTTCACTCATTGGTCAGGAATTTGCCAAAACATACGCCGATCTCTATAAGACATCGACGACAACACCACCGGTTGATAGTCAAAGCACTTCCAAAGAGTTAACTACTGATACGGTTATAAAACAAGAGATAATTGATGGCAACACTGAGTTTGATAATGTCCTCCAAACGAGTCCTAATACCGCAATCAACAAAATGATTACACAAATTAAAGACATTATCAAAAGCGATGACAGCACTCAAGACACGATCATAATGTCCGCGCAATCGGAGCCCAATAGTGCCGAAAGTAATCCCGATTTCAATACCGAAACTGAGACCGAAGAGGAAGAAGTGGTGGCGAAGACGACTGATGAGAGCATTGAGAATGTGGCCAAAAATGAAGTGTCGAAAAAGCAAAAGAAAATGAAAGGCAAACGAATGAGAGTCTCGAAGGACTCGACAATAACCGCCGAAGGCATCCATCTCTACGACTGTCTGTTTAAGGGATGCGACCAGAAGTTTGCCAATTGTGAGGAACTGCGGGACCACCGCCTGAACCACGAATCGGCCAAAAAGATTATCGAAGAGATGACAGCGAAGGTCAGAGCGAAGGCAAAAGCGGACGCCGAGGCCAAGGCTGCGGAGGCGGCGAAGGCGACCGCCGAGAACAGGGCTGCGGCCGAAGCGAAGGCCAGAGAGTTGGCGTCACCCGAGCGAAAGGTGACCCGATCTATGGCTCAATCCTCGAGTTCGGAGCGAGAGATTGTTAGATCTATGGGTCAGTCTCTGTCTCCCGATCGCAAAATGTCCCGATTTATTGACCAATCGGTGTCTCCGGACGGGAAGATTAGTAGAGGGATGAAGGCATCAGTTTCTCCCGACCGGAGGGTCACTCGATCTGAGAGCCAATCGGTGTCTCCCGAACGCAAGATTACGAGATCTATGACGAGAATAGAATCGGTATCGCCGGACAAAAAGATGACCAGATCTATGGCTCTAAGGGCGAGAGCACCAAAGACCACGATTGAAAATCTCCAGAACACAGTGAACAGCAGATCCAGTCGACAAGAATCTCCAAAGAAAACAATTACTCAAAAGGATGTGACGTTTAGCGGGAATTTCGCGTCCGAAATGGGTGTCAAGCGTTTGGACACCGTTTCGACCGCCAGTGAATCTTCAGAAGATCTGATGCCATATAAGTGTGACCGCGAAGACTGTACGGAAGTGTTTGCTCACAAACAAGATCTGGCGCAACACATCTACGATAGGCATAGCATTCAATGCGAAGAATGTGGCGAAAAGTTTCAAATGGTGTTCAAACTGAACCGCCATAAAGAGAGAGCACATCCGCCGCCATCGAAATCGCCGACCATTCGCATGAAATTACGGGCCAAAAGTTCCGGCGATTGGTATTGCGATAACGACAGCGCCACCACTACAGGCGATGGTCAGCACTCATCGCCAGCCCCGCCGGTGTCCTCGTCGGCGGCGGCCGTCGGTAACGCATGCAATACTACTAGTGGTGAAGAACCGCAATATAAATGTGATTTTTCGGATTCCAGTCAAGAAAACGACAAAATGATAGTCGATATGAATCCACAAAGCGTTTCGGGACAAGAGTTGGGCATTGATTTGGACACCGAATCGTCAAACGAATGGGACAGTAATGTGGACACAGATATGGAGGCAGAGTTGCTTAGACGTAGGGAATCAGTGATGGGATCTGACAGGGAGTCAGTCATCGAATCTCTAAAAGAATCGGACAAAGAATCGCTTAAAGAGTCTGACTGTCAGTCAGTCACCGAATCACTAAAAGAATCGGACAAAGAGTCGCTCAAAGGCTCTGACAGTCAATCAGTTACTGAATCTCTTAAAGGATGGGATAAGGAGTCAATCAGTGAATCAGATAAGGATTCAGTGAAAGTGCCGGACAGAGAGTCACTCAATCCAAGAGCCAGAAAGTTAATGAAGGGATTGGACAACGAGTTGTTGCAACGATCGCCCGTTGAATTCAAATGCGATGATTGCGGGAAGAGATTCAAAATGGCGTTCGCTATGAATCAACATAAAGACAAATGCAGTCAAATGAGGCGAATGAAGAGTAAGGGCAAGAAATACGTTTGCGAAGAGCAGGACTGTGGTAAACCATTTACCATCAGAAAGCACCTCGAGGTCCATCAACGTATCCATTCGGGTGAAACGCCATACGCGTGTCAAGAGGTGGAGTGCGGCAAAAGGTTCACTCAAATGGCTAATCTTCAGGCACACCAACTGATCCATACCAAAGAGAAGCCATTCACGTGTGGCATATGTAGCCAATCGTTCCCCGAGTTGTCTAAGCTCTTGGACCACAAACGCAGTGTTCATAATGATAAGGAGAAGCGACACAAGTGTCCGGCCGTGGGTTGCGGTGAAGGCTTTTTCCAATTGGCAACTCTTAACCATCATCTAAAGTCCAAACATTGATCATTATTAAAAGTGTCTTAATTATGTTTTTTTATACCATATTGTGTTCTTTACTTTTTATTATGCAATTTATAATTTTTACAAATCATATATTATGTGGTGTTTTGTTTGCTTTTAACTTAAATTTTATTGTAATTATGAATTAATTAACATTTTAATGAATGCTCTTTTATATATCTGTTTAATTGATACCCAAAAACGCATAAATTAAGTGCATTAGCAATGATAGCAATCAGAATACTATACATTAGTGTTATATAAATTGATACCAAATATTTTACGATTAAGAAAATTTTTAATTAAATTGTTTTTAATCATGATTTTAATGCAATCAATTAAATGCCTTCTCTTACCCGACGCTTTGTGTGCAACAAATCTATACATAAAATACTTAACGATAAGATATACTCGTATTTTGTATTACAATCACTCATTATATACTCATGCAATCAATCGATTTATAATTTAAAAGCCTATTAGAAAATCAAATAAATTATTGTATATTTTTTCAATGGATTTGTTGTGTTTTAACCGCACTTTTTGGTCACGAGTAGTGGTCTGAGAGCGCGGATTGGAGTCGTGCCCGAAGTCAAGGGCCGGAAGAATATGTCGTTCGTGAAGAACACGTTGAAGCCGTTGGCCGAGTAGACGACCTCTTCGTCCGGATTCAGGTCGTCCTCGCGTTCCAGTTCTCCGTAATTAATGGTACTCTTGTTGCGGACCGATGTCTTTGTCGGTGTTTTCTCTGTTGTGCCAGTGGTTGGTATTGTGGTCAGTGATGGCGGCGGCGATGGTGTAGGTGTGGAGTGCGCTGTAGGCCTGGATTGAGCTCTTGTGGTTGTCTTTGGCTGCGGTGTTGATGTAAAAGAGTCGAAGTTTTCAATTGATCTCATGTTTGCTGTGGTTTTGATAACAGGTCTTTGTTTCGTGTATTCGGCAAACGAGTTTGAGGTCAACTCTTTGCTTGTGGTCATCAGTGGTGTTGAAGTTGTTGTGGTTCTTGTTTTTAATGATATCCAAAGACTTTGAGCGGAAGTCACAGATGAAGAGATACTATTAGTTGATTGCATAGTAGGTGTCACCGAATGATTAGTTTTACCATTTAATGATTTGTTAAGACTTTGACCACTCGTTAATAACCACTTAATTGTGGGAATTATAGAAGAATGTGATGTTTTTGGACTGGAAGTAGTGGTCAATATTGTGGTCAACTTCGAAGAGTTGTTTGATTCTGTTTGGATGTGTGGAATCGTTGAAGTGTTTAGAAGTTGTTTCTCGATGAATGTCTTAACATTATCGTAGTTGCCATCAGTTGTTTCATTCACTTTAACCATCATTACTGATGGTGTGTTTACGTGGATCTCGTGTCTAATCGAGTCAACCGTATGTAAAATATCTTTGGCTTTAATGCCATCATTTCGACGACAATTGCATTTCGTGTGGTTTTGAAACTTAAGAATTTCTATATTTCTATTGAAATTAATAAAAAGTTTTTAAATACAATTAAAAACAGTAATTAATGAATTAATCCAAACACGTACCTCTCGATAATCCCTTCATCAGATTTAATTAGGGTATAAAACCCGATGTCGACCTCCTGTTCCTCAATGGCCACACATGAGTGCCGAGGGTTTGGACAGCAGGCGAACTGGTCTGAGCACCGGTACAGTATGGTAGCCCTCGGCAGATACAGTTTGTCTCGCGTATCGTTCACGTAGACTACTGTAGGCCGGGGTGTATCGCACCGGCCATTGATGGCAATCTCCACCAAAGTATTCTTCACCCGATCGTGAAGTAATACAAACGAATCGATTTCCGATATATTTAACGTTTGAACAAATTTTGTCAAACATTTTATGATCAGTAAAATTGTCGTGATTTTTGAATTTCTACTTAAATAAAACATTTTTGTCAATCAATAGTTTAAAATATTTTACTAGTGTTTGGACTTAAAAAGTTTAATGATTTGTTTTGGATTTTCTAAAGTTGATAAAAATTGTGTTTTTAATTTCAAACATTATTTGTAAATTTGCATACAATGTGTAGTTAACTGTACTTTAAATTAACTTTTATCAGTGTTTTCTTTCAATGCCATTGACTTTTATATTTAGCTATTTTAAGAATATTTTGAAAATAACTAATTCTTATTATCAAAAAATCTTTTCAATTGTCATTTATATCTAATTATAGTTAAAATTAATTGTAAAATATTAATAATAAAAATCAATAAATGCTGTTAGTGTTCATTTAATTTCAAAAATTAATTAAAAATATGAATGGTTGTTTTCTTAAAATTAAATAAAATTTTATTTAATATAAAACTAACTAGTTAATAATTAGATTAAAATAATTAAATATAAAAATAAAATTTAAAATAACCATATACAGTATAGAGAATACATACGTATATAAAATATAATTTTAATTTTGTGTGATTTAATCAAATGTTATGAGAGCCTTAACATTGAAATATCAAAGTTAATTATAAAGTGAAGGATTAATTTCTTAAAGCATTTACTTTTAACAGTAAAGTAAATTTTAGACAAATATTATGAAAATATAATTTTTCATAATTTGAGAAAAAACTCAAGATATAGTTTTCTAAAGCATTTCTGCTATTATTTGATAATTTAATTGTCATAATATTGAAAATATAATAAGATTTACATATAAATAGTATATTTAAATCCATGTCCTTCACCATCAAAAACACACCACAACTCAGATATGAATAGAAATATAGATATATTTTGTGACAAAAACTTATTTTTCTTTTCATTTGTTGTATTAAACAAACAATTAAATGAAGAAATTTATCATTTCTTTTCAATTTCTCTGATATAACCTTCACTTTCCATATCTAATAATTATAATGAATTAATTACATATATTTAGCCATTGGATAACTACCGGTGCGAGAGTTACAGGCAATTAATAAAAGTATTGTCTCTCACTATATGTCACAACCCATGTGTGCGAAGAAACGGATCTATCATTACCTATAAATTCTTCGCTCATTTCATCATTTTTGTGAAATTTACTCAAAATATTAAACAAAATATGATTTTCAATACTATTTATTAACTATTCATTGAATTTATTCAATAGTTTTAACTTTTAAATTGTGTTCAACGAAAAAATGATTACAAAATACATGATAAATGTATTACTTATAACACTATTGATGACTTTTACGATAATAAAGTCGATTAAAGCCGGTTGTATGAGCGCAAGGAATATGGCATCGGATACGGACTGTTATCTCAATCACTTGGCGCGTGAGAATGTCATGCGAATGGGTTTGGAGGGCGGGTGCGATGCGCCCCGACCGCAGGTTGTATACCCCGATGACTCCAACAAAGTCTACATGCCTAGAGGTACAGTATTTCCCAATGATTTACCATAAGTTTTCATTACAAACAATGCGCTCATTTCAAAGGGACACTACTGTACCGATGCAACGACCAGTCGGGCTGTTGTCCACAGAAAGAGCACTCGTGTCTACCGCTACAGGAGGACGAGCTTCGGGTGGCCTTCTATGCGGTCGACTGTATGGGCGGTGAGAGTCGACCGCAACCCGAGTACGTGATTATGAAGAATCACACGAAATGCGGTTGTCGTCCAAAACAGGACGACGGGTACGACTCTCCCCAACGATATCAAAATAATGTCTGCGCCGGTGGTCAGAGTCGGTACCAAATGCGAGGCCAATCACAATATGGTGGAGGTTATGGCGGAGGCAGTGGTCAGTCGGGAGGCTATGGGGGCGGCGGTGGCGGGCAATACGGCGGCGGCGGGCAGTCATATGGTGGCCAACAGAGGGGTTCTTCGCCGTGCGCTAACTCTATGTCCAGCCGTCCGCTAATGGATGGACAGGTAGTCCGCGGAACCATTCGGTTAACAGTGGGTCCCAAAGGGTTTATGCAAAGCCAACAACAATATCAGACACCACCACAACAACAGCCCTGTCCTTACGGCTGAGTCTCACTATTAACTCGTTTATTATTTGAGCTTTAATTTAATGATTAAAAACATTTTTCCTGATTTAATGAATGAATGTATTATTTTGTTGCCAAAAAAGTTTGCAAACTTATGTTTTTATGCGTTAAATAAAGTTTTCATTCAGTTTTGTACTATATATTTATAATTACAATTAAAATTCAATTAACTAGTTTAATTAAAAATAATCGTAGGTGTAATAGTGCAAAATGTCCATGATGATAATTCTAAAAAAGTTTTTACCAAACTTTTATACTTTATGGTGACATAAGCGCTATCTAGCGATCACTCGCCTAAAGCTTAATAAACATATGATTTTCAGTGATTTTTTAGTGAAAAGCATTGAAAAACATTGAAAAACGTAGACATAAATAACGTCCGTAAAAATGTGGGGGAGTTTTGGCAGAACTGATGGCAAAACACACGTTAAGTAAATGCGGGGCAAAATTGGCGGCAAAACAAAACTCTATATAAATATTGGACATTATTTGTGACTCACGTTTCAAAACCAATTGTTGTAATAAAAACTCACGCAATCGAGAGGTGAAGAGTCAAAAGCGTTGCCAACGCTGTGAACACACACTTCGCAAACCAGTCATACCATTCAACTCCACAACTCGTATACACAGAGAGCGAGTGAACAAAGCGTTCGATTTTTTATAGACATTTCGCGAGTCATTCGTTGACTAATTATTATCACAATTGTGTGAAGCGATCGCCGATTGGCTGTTAGAGTGACCACTGATTCACACGAGTGTTTGTTAGACACGAAGCGATCACGTGATACACACATGTCTGGTAGAGGTCGCGGCCGTATTCACAAGCCTAGCGCTGGGTCGCCGGTGGGGCCGACGGGAGGGGCCGTCGGCGGGGCTGTGGGCGGCGCCGCCCCTCCCGATGACGACCACGAGATGGACGACGAAGAGTCGGCCCGAAAGAAGCAGAAAGAAGCGGCCGAACGCAAGTCGGGCCTGTCGTACGACTTCTTCGACGAGGTGTTCAAACTCGATGGTAACCCTCGGCAAGTGCTGATCGACCAGAAGCTGTACGTCAAGCCCAACGAGAACTGGTTCGCCGTCAAGAAAGAGGAGGAGCCGGAGGTCAAAAACGAGCCGTTAGTCGATAAGTATGTGTTTTGCTTTGATTGGCCGCCACTTGTTGTGTCCACCGATGATAATGTCTTGTGTTTGTGGTGTTGTTTAGGAAGTTTGCGGGCAAACAATACGTGACGGAACAGATCGTCAAAGAGAAGGAGCGCTGGAAGGTATGGTCAGCCCCTGTTTGGCCGCCGTTTTTTTTTGTGGCAATGATTTGTTTTGTATTGATTTTGTTTGTTTCGCCCCCGAAGTCGTTGGCGCGCGAAGAGGCGGATCGTTTCAGGCCATCGCCGTCGCCCTCTGCGGACGCGTCGGTCGCCGGCAGTGTTTTCGGCGGTTCGCGCCAATCGGTGATCACTGCCGCGGGTCGGCCTAACCGTCGCGCCAATGCATCCACTCTGTCAGTGGTGTCGTCAGCCATCGAGAGTGTGGGCACAGTTCAGCCGATGGCCATTCCCGACACGATTATGGAGGACGTGGACATGACGGACGTGAAGGCGTACTTCGGCCCCGATTCCCGTCATAAGCGGCAACAGTTGCCGATCAGTCAATACGCGGATCAGATCGTGAGCGTCGTTACCCTGAATCGAGTGATTGTCATCGAAGGCGCCACCGGTTGCGGAAAGACAACACAAGTGCCGCAATACATAGCCGACGATTGCGCCGAAAGGGGCGTCCCCTTCAACATTGTGGTCACTCAACCCCGACGTATTGCCGCCAAATCCATCAGCGCTCGTGTGGCCGAAGAGCGCGACTGGGAGTTGGGCTCTCTTGTCGGCTATCAAATCGGTCCGTATTATTGACACTTATGTTATGAATTGTTTGATACGTTATGTTATGTCTTGTTTTATTGGCGCCCAGGAATGGACAAGTCATGTGTGAGCGCCGACACCCGCATACTCTACGTCACCACTGGTGTACTTCTTCAGCGTCTGATTGGCAGCCGACGACTCGACACGTATTCGCATATCATTATAGACGAAGTGCACGAGCGGTCCATCGAGACGGACCTACTGCTGCTGGTGATCAAGCGTCTGATGGCCGCCCAGAGTGTGTCCGTCAAAATCATACTAATGTCGGCCACATTCGAAGTGTCACAACTGAGGGATTACTTCACGATTCCCATCTACAAAGACGAAGAGTTGGTCCAAGAGGTGGTTCCGGCGCACATCAAGATCGACGAGCGCAACAAACCCCTACACATCTACTACTTGGCCAACATTCGCAAAGATCTACACCTCGTACACAACCCCAACCCCTCCCGTGATATCCGGTATCACTATAACAGCGACAACGATAAGAGCGCCGCTTGCGTTACACAAGAAGCCATGGAAGTGGCCGTTCATATGATGGAATTGGGACTTAAAAATCTCGACGGTATGATAATAGCTGTTTGTTTGGATATTTGATTGACATATGTTGTGCCATAATAGACGATAGCGGTTCCCGCGGCGCTGTACTCATATTCCTCCCCGGTTTGGAGGAGATAATCGAGTTGAAGGCCAGACTCGAGAAGAGCAAAGAGTGCGCTCTACAGCACTGGAAGATATATCCGTTGCACTCATCCATACCTCTGGACAAACAGAACTCGATATTCACCAAAACGGCGCGAACCGAACGCAAAGTGATTTTGGCCACTAATATAGCCGAGAGTTCCATAACAGTGCCCGACGTGTCATACGTTATCGACTTCTGTCTGACCAAAAGTCTTGTTTGCGACGTCGAGACCCACATCCCAGTGCTTAAGATGGAGTGGGCGTCCAAAGCCAACTGCCAACAGAGGGCCGGACGCGCCGGTCGTGTAACGCAGGGCCGCGTGTATCGACTCGTCGAGGAGTCCTTCTACAAGACCCAAATGCCCGATTACAGTCAGCCAGAGCTGACCCGTTCACCACTGGATCTGTCCATTCTTCGGGTCAAAATGCTTGAAATGGGTTCACCCAAAGAGTTGCTCGGTTTGGCGCTGAGTCCACCCGATTTGGCCGATATCTACCGTTCGGTACTTCAACTCAAACAAGTGGGCGCTTTCACAGTGAAGGTGACAGAACGCGACCGAATCTATTACGACGAGGAGGACGGAGACATCACAACTCTGGGCCGCATTATGTCTCACCTGCCCATCGATATACGTCTGGGAAAACTGGTGATTATGGGCCACGCGTTTGACTGTCTCGAAGACTGCATTATCATCGCCGCGTGTCTGTCCACACAAGGTTTGCCGCACAACCCATAACTCATTAATGTCTTAATGTTATAATGTGTCTCTTAATGGTTAGGTATGTTTCGCAAAGACTTCGCTCAGGGTCTCAACGCGTATAAGTCGCGCATGTCTTGGGCCGACCGGTCGTTCAGCGATTCCATTGCATACCTGAACGCCTATAAGATGTACAAGAAGTTTGAGGCCGAGTTCTCCAACGATCGGCGTATGGCTGAGAACTGGTGTCGACAGAACTTTCTGCAACACAAACGCATTCTCGAAGTCGATTACATGATCGGCGAACTGTTCACTCGTCTCGCCCGCGACAATATCGTGATTCCCGAACGACCGAACCTTCGCCGAAGTCGACACGAAGAGGAACTCATACTTAAAGTGAGTGTCTGTCCATTGAATTGGTTTTAATTTTATTGACATTTATTGTTAACTTTGCTTTTCGTTGATGTGTCCGTCCATTGAGGTCGTGATGTGCGCCGCGTTTTACCCGAATTACTTCACCCGCAATGAAATCAATCTAAAAAACATACCGAAAGAGTTGAGTACAAAAGATCCGCGCACTTCGGTGTCTGTGGCGGGACTGCCGGCCAATCAGGGCCCGTTATACGCAGCCGCCATTCGCGAGCTGTTCTCCGTGTGCGCCAAACGCATAGACATCGACTTCGAGGACACAAAGGCTTATCTCACTTTTCTGGACGACACTCATCCGCTAAAGGATGCCTTTGACAATCATATTCCACTGCATCTTAAGCGGGAACCGTTTGGCGGTTCCGCGTCTTCCATGTCCTGCAAATCGGAATCTCGATCGGACACTCCGATGTCCAGCACTACCGCCACTTCTACCACCGATCGGTCGATGAGTGTTAGCAGCACTTTGAGCTCATCCACCATCAAATCCAAGCGCAGCATTAAAGAGACTACGATGAAAATGGCGGTTTACGTGGCGCTGGCCATGAATGGCCACCGAATCAACAAAGAGATACCAAAACTGAATCCCAAATTCACTGAGAAAGAACTCTCACGACTTGAAAAGTAATGGACTCTTTGTTTTGTGTGCCATTTATATGCCATAAACTGATTCTTTGTTTGTTTGCGTTTTCAGATTCAAAGAGAGCGTACAGTCGGAAGTGTTGATCGCATTCCGGTCGCATCGGGTATCGATGCCACACATGATGCCCCGCATACGGCTGTCACGACTGCCAATGCCTCGGCTCGACTGCACGGAGATTGAGATCCGCATTACACACATCGAAGACCCGACAAATTTCTACGCCCAATACGTCGACGAATACACCCGCAAACACTTGGACACTCTCTCCCACTTCATTAACTACGACGACTCGTTCCGCGCGATCGACGCCGAAAGCCTTCAGGTCGGCGATATAGTGATCGCTCCCTATTTCGACTCTAAGGGCGCGCAGATGTCCGGCAGGGGTCGCGTCGATAGCATTGTATACAAACCCGCCGTTGGTATACAAACCAAAGAAGTGGAATCGGTTCGTATGGATCCGTTTTCGGGTCTTTTGTTACCAATTTAGTGGTTGTTTTCATTTGATTTGTTTTGTATTTTAGATAAAAGTCTTCTATTTGGACGACGGAAAGTCGTTGGTGTTTGACAGCTGGCAGTCCATGACTCGCGTGACCGCCCGGACCAACGTTGCATTCATGGAGATCCCGCCGCTGGCCGTCCACTGCGCGCTATCGCAAGTGAATCCGTCGCCTATCAGTTGCATAGACAGCACGTGGTCTAAGAAGTCGATCAATTACTTCAGAAAGTGGACCGCAGAGCACCCAACGTATACCGGTATGTCTGCCACACGTAATGACCCGTTTTTGTGTACATTTTATTAATTTATTCAAACATTTTTTAGCCAAAATCTACTCAGTTGTCAACCGAGTGGTACGACTGGAACTGTTTAAAAACGTGGACCGAAGCGAGTCTTTCAACGATATGTTGGTTAACATTGGGTTTGCGGAGAAGTGGGAGGAAAGCGAGCAGTCGAGGCTCAACCACAGCTCCCGTCGCAGCCATACGTCCGCCCGAACCGACTCGAGCCTCAAACTCGAAGAATTCAAACCGGGTGTCTATTATCCCGACGAAGCCCTCGAAGTATTTGCCATTACTTTTGATTTGTTTGGACATTATTTTAATTGTTTTATACGTTATTTGTTTGTAATTATCCAATCGATAGCTTCCGACGGATTTCTATAAAAACGAGAAGATCTCTAACATCAGGACACACGACAAGATCTCACTTCGAGGCCCTTTCAATCCATTACAAGTAATATAATGTTTATTTTTGTTGTATTTCCGATTGGTTTGAGTTTTAATTGTATTGTTATCTCAAATAAAGTGCTCGTTTAGAGGCGTCAGTCGTCAGACATCGTTCCGAAAGGTAACGGTGGACAAGGATTCGGTCAATTTCGTGGTCTTAGAGCCCGACTATCTCTCGAAACACACCCGACTGCTGGTGTCGGCATCAATGGGTTTGCGTCAGGAGTCGGGAAACATTACGCTCAGAGACACGACACTAATGCCAAACATACGGGGCTTTCCGGCGCTGATGTCGCTGTTGTTCGCACCGCGCGTTCAGCTCAGAGCCGACGACGAGAAGCAACAGTTTGTGTCCGCCATCTGTGGCCTCGGATACGATGGGCGCTCTTTCAAGGGATACGACACTGAATACGACTCCGAGGTTTGGCCACTGATTTGAGTAGTAATTGTTTCGGTAAAAGTAATGTCGCGTTTGGTTTCGCAGGTAATCTTCGATTCGGACATTTCGCGCGAAGACATCATTAAAGTGAATATCATTCGGTTTAACATCACATCACTGTTAGCCAGTCGTCAAGCGCTGCAGGAGTACAGCGAAGCGAGTTTGGCCGTCAAACAGCGCAAAATCCGCCGATACGTGATCGAGCTGTTGGACCGACGCCGGCGTCTCGTCGACAACTCCCGGTATCAGCCGCTGTACCGATGGACTGACCTGTCGGGCGAGGATGTGATGCATCCGCGCCAAAGTGAGGTCGAGATCAACGCCAATATCCTTCCCTACTGTGAGGCGCGACAACTCACTGAATACGACTGGTATGAAGACGTCCTCAAGAATCTCAACGAACTTAAGAAACTTGAAAAAGGGTACGACTTTTGATCCGTTGTTTACCATTGTTTGGCTCCTCTAATGATTGATTGATTGGTTGTTTGATTGCAGAGAGTCTTGCGCTGCGTTTAAATGCGTTTTGTGTGCACTGAAAGTGTACTCCAAGTCTGATATGTTAACGCATATCCATAGCGATGGCCACAGAGATATGGCCGACGACTTCGCGAAGTACTGTAAGATCAATGAACAGGAGGTGCAGAAGCAGAAGGTCTTCGAACAGAACGAAATGGAGTGCATTGACGAACAGGAAGAGGACGAGTCGTGTCAGGAAGTGTTTGATGTCGACACCGATTCCGACTGATTGCCGCCCAACACATAGATCTCAACTCATTTTTCATATCATTTTTTGATTTGATTTATTTTTCTCAATACTTTTTTTTGAAATATTTTTGTTGGTTTTGTCCACATTTGCAATCATTTGGTGTTTAAAAATTATTTTTGTACTTTTTTTGCTTTTGTATCGAGATTTAATTTGTTTCTTATTATGTAATATTGATTTGTTTGAATCGCTTTTAGCAGAAGATTTAATTGATGTTTTGATTACGAGTTTAATTTTGAATATTTTTGTTTAATTCACACGAATCGCCAGTATTTGTACTGCAATTACATTACGATCACGTTATTTGCCAATTTGTAACTCGAGTTAACACGAGGTCTATTCTAATTAAAAAGCAGTAAAACACCTGTTATTTGATTTTGAAATAAAATGTTTGAATTGAAAAGATTGTGTCATTTTATTTATAACTTGATATTTAAGCCAATTTTGTTGAGAAATAATTGATTTTTGTATTATTTGTCGAAATACTGATTATTTATTGTTGTATTCATTATTTTGCGATGAGTTTGTTATATGCAATGGAAAATAAGAGTCAAAACAAAGTTTTATTTAATTTATTTTCTATTTTATTTGAATAGGAATTAAATTTTTGGCACAAATATATGTTTTTTCCAATAATAAAAGGCATGAATTGTTTTTTTTAACAATAAGTCAGTTGTTGTTTAATATTGTCATTTCATTTACTTTTATTACATCTAATAATTAGTTTTATGTCTGTTTTGTCTGTTGTTTAATAACTACAGAATTATGTAATTATTAGTTAATCTTTTAGACGCTTTTATATTGAGAAATGAAAATATTTTCAATAATAAAATTTACATTTTTCTTATGTGAATAACAGATAAAAAATAAATGACAATTAATTTAAATGAGAGAAAAAATATAAATATGTTTAATATAATTATTTTAAATGTTGTTTTCTTCCGTATGTCTAGTATTTATCAATTCATTAAAACTTTTTCTATAAATAATTTGTTTATTATTTCTTATATAATGACAATAATAACAACATTTGTTATAATTAGATAGAAATCGGGATTAAATCAACAATTTTGTGGACCCATCGACTCGATAATACACTAAACAGACAATTAGTCTATGTTTTGATTTACAATTCATTTTTTTGTGTTATATACTAGGTCATTTGAAAACCTCTTTTACTATGATATTTTTAGTGAACTCAGAAATATAACATTGGTATCATTATTTAGGCATAAGAAACTAAATTTATTACATTTCGATAACTATTAGTTTTGATACTGCAATATTTTAAAGTACAGTCAAAATAATGTAATCCTATGGGAAGGTCTCTGTCTCGGTATTTACCCATTTGTGAATTATGTTAAAATGTATCATGCTCAAATACTAATTGAGATCATTCAAAACTCTTACTCTTTTGATACATTTATTGTTTAAGGAGTATAAGGATATGCTATTGAATGGCCAAATCTAAACGGTACCCAAATTGTGGCACATAATTATCGGCAGTCGACCCGATTGAATGCATGTGTTCGGTCGGTCCACTATAAATATTATGGTAAAAGAAATTTTCAAATGTTTTCTTGTTTTGTATTTTGTCTGTAATTTTTTCACATATAATTATATTGTTTGTTATTTTAACATCGATTTAACGTCATTTAAGTTTGTGTTTTGAAACCACTATTTATGTTATTTAGATATAAACGAGCTTGGGATTTTTTTCTGCCTGTTTTTCGGTTTGTTTTATTTATTTAAACAATAATTGTTTAAATATTAAACACAATCAGATGTGGGAAATGGAGGCAAACATTTTGAAAACTTGAAAACATATTGATTCAAAAATGTTCAAATTCCGGGTTTTAAATGTAGACAAAAATACATTTCCATTGTGTTTGTGGGGCCGATATCTATACATCTGTAATACAATTACTTTCTTTGGGTACTTAAGCGCTAATATGGTATGAAATTTTTTATTACAAAACATGTATTTCTCTCAAAAAAAGTATTTTATATAATATTGTGTCGCGAAATGGTTTGACGAGAGTTACGGCGCGCCGACTGTTAAGTGTTTTTCAATGACTCTCTCAACGCATTCATCGATTCATTTGTCGCTTAAAATACATTATATATCAAACATTTCTCGGGTTTTCACATTTTATTTCACTAATATATAGATATATATAAGTTTCTGATCGATATATGATTTGTCAAAAAGTGAATTCACTTTTGCTTTCCTTTACTTTTTATCTTATTTTTGTTTCTCTCGTCTTATTTCTGGCATTAATTTTGCCGACAATTATAACCAATCGATTGGCTTTAGTTAACGTCATTTGGCTTTACATTCATGTATTTTTTCATTTCCCTCATTATTATTATGAATGAATTTAATTATATTTTTATATTTGTCTTTTATAGCAATTAATTAAATGACTTTTAATTTTATAATAATATTATTTTTTGTTTCATTCAATGGTTTTTTGCAATTAATTGTGGAATTATTTTAAAAGAGAAATGAAAAACAAGTAATTTTTACATTAAATAAAAGTTTGTTTTATTCTACAGAATATTCTGCTAAATATATGGTTGTTTTAAATATAAATTCATACGTTTATAACGGGGTTTAATAAATATTTATATATAATTATACATGTATACATGTATATAATAAATATATAAAAACAATATGTGTTTAGCTCTCTTGTGATAGAAATATGTGGTAAATTACTATGTATTTTATCATTCATTTTCACTGATTAAAAGACATGAATTATAAGTTATTATATAAACAATTTTTAATTAGAAATTATTAAATATTTTGTATTTTGTTGGTTGACATTAAACAGGGACTAAGAATTGTCAGTTTTGTATTTTTCATTTATTTATTACATTTTACGTCAACTTTTTCTGTTCGTTATATCGAGTATACATTAAAAAGATTTATATTTATTTATATAGACTTTTACCACAAAATATATGAATAATAATTATAATTATAACAATAATAAGAAAAATGACTTAAAAATAATAATAAAAACAACATTAAAACTAATACATACAATAAATTTACAATTCATTCATTTATTTTCATATACAATATATCATAATAATAATAATTTTAATAATGTATTTGTATTATAATAATAATAATATAAAAAAACTTTTTTCTCTGATCTGAACAGCAATTAAAGCAACGAAAAAGTTATCTCTGTTTTCATTTCTGTTGTCATTTAATTACATTTATTTTAATATTCATTGTTTTTCAATCAATTTCTAAGTTTTTGTTTGCTTTGCTCTCAAGAAAACATAGTATAAAAACATAACGAAAAACACGGGAAAAGTTACTTATTTTATCATAAGATTTATTGGAATTAATTAATTAATTTACACAAAAAAAATATATAATATGATTAAAACAATAGACATTGAAATGACATTTAAAAAACTTTAAATAAACAAAAAAAACTAATTTTCTTGAAGTAAATTTGTTTTTTCGCAATTTTCTAAATACACAAATTGTATATAAAGATGAAGTAAAATGTTTACTGAATCCTTGTTTTTTTCATTTTGGGCGACAAAAAACAAACTGATTATTAATTACTTATTAAAAATCTCGTTTTTATGAACAACTTATGAACATTTCATACATAAAACATTACGATACAAATATGAAGAGAGTGGGAGAGAAAGAGAGAGAGGTAGAAAGGAGGGTATTTAAGGTCCTGGTTCAATTAAATCAGACCTGCTTTTTGTTACGGTGTGTTTTATCTGTTATACATGTTAGGCACGGGTCCAGCGGTTTGTTTAATCGTTAAGCTTATAATTATAATATCGTATAATAATTAATATTCACAATAATAAAAAAGTTGGTGAATTTGGTCTCTGATTTTCTGGTAATCAATTATCTGTTTGTATTATTTAATTGTATTGTTGTATTGGTGTATAATATATAACATGTGAATGTATTAATATTCTTGTAATAATAATTATGTTGTATACTCTGTATGTGTGTCCGTCCGTACAGTGTGTTTGTGTGTATGTGTTGTACAGCCGTCGGCGGCGGTGGTGTCGACCGGACGACGGGTTGGTGTGTGTGTTGTGGCCAACGATCACAAGAGGCTGGTCTCGGCTCTATTGATTTCGTTGACGATCTGCGCGTGTTCTTCGAGCAATCGGGCGAACTCTTCCTTCCGGAGCCGCGCGTGAGCCTAATGTTGGACACGATTGAGATAATGCATCCATGGATTAGTTACACAACGCATATTTTGCGGTAATGGTTGGGTACGAGGTATACAAGCATGTGATGGGTTGGGTTCGCAGAGAACGCACCACAAAAAATATATATCATTACAATTATAATTTTGATACATATTTATGTAAACCATATATAATTTAGTGCATCATTGAGTTATTGTGTTACCCGTATATATCGTAGTGATGACTGTCATCACGCTCTATAACGTGTCTCATCTCTCCCTATTATCTTCATCATTGCTCTCTCTCTCTCTCTCTCTCTCTCTCCTCTCTTCATATTTGTATCGTAATGTTTTATGTATGAAATGTTCATAAGTTGTTCATAAAA